TCGTAACTATTCAGTTATATCCACCCCTTTTCTTTCTTTCTTACCGTCTCTCACAATGATCAGATAATATAAATCCATTGACAACATTTTGTGGCAAATGGACTCCAGTTTCCAATGCCAATATTTTGACACACACACACACAACATGCAGGGTGTTTAAAATTCGGCACTCACCAATGGGATCTTGGACACTGTAAGAGATACAAAGTCGCATAAATGACGTAGTCAACAAAATGAAAGTTTCAAAATGCAAAGTACTTCCGGAGCGAGATGGAAAAACTCAATTTTCGCAAAATGGTTTTTTCCTGACTTGTATCGGGATTTGAAAATAAATCGCACATTAACATTGCCGCGTTTTCTCCTCTACAAGAAGGTGTTAGAATAGGGTTTTTCATGTTGATTAAAAAAATGCGTAATACGTCATACACTTACGTTTCCAAGCCTTAGTTACTTCAAAAAAAAAAACAAAATAGAATTTCTTAGGTAGACCTTGAAATTATCAGATACTTGTTTTGCTTACCAGATTTATCCGAGGTCTTCATAGTCTTCCAACCTCTGTTGCTATGCAAACAAATGAAATCTGATAATTTCAAGGCCTAACTAAGAACTTCTGGAATAACAAATGTTTCGCAATGTTAATGTATGACATACACATTTTTGAAATCAGAATTAAAGGTTTTATTCATCTGTGTTAAAATCCAATATGGCGGCTATAAGAACAAATAAAGTTGATGCTGGAGGACAAAAGACGAAACGTCATATGGTAATTATAATTGTACCATCTTGTAGAGGAGAAAAACTGGCAAAGTTGATGTGCAATTTATTTTGAAATCCTCCTACAAAATCAGGAGAAAATTAAAACCACTTTGAGAAATTTCGGTTTTTTATGTCCCTCTCTCTCGAAGTACTTTCAGTTTCAAAACTCTCTAAGCGGCATATTGCTGATTATCTGAATACGCAACTTTGCCTCTATTTAAGCGATTTTGTATCCCTTAAAGCTTCCGAGATGTCAATGATGAGGGAAAATAGTATTTTCATTCCAGCAAAGTCAGTCGGCTACTCCTCCGTGGGCACCCTTGACAAAAAGCTGTATCATAAAATCTCCAGAATTGGTTATTTTTTTTTCATCACCTTTGGGGGACTTATACAAGTAAATACTGTTTGTGCATACACTTCGAGGCTGGGCGACAAGGGAACAGGAAACAAAAACCGTACTATCCGAGTTTTATTAAAAGTCATTTACAATACTTTATACATCTTTTCATGCATAATCACTGCAGATGTTTATTCAGAATTCTTACTGTTTGCTTCTTCAACTTGTCATTCGATGAGTGGAATCACTTTGCTTCAAATCTATGTTTATACCTTTTAAATGAGAATTGAATGGTAATTGCTGAGTAAATCTACTTGAAATGTTTGAGTGCTGTTATTTTTCCTAGAAATTGTCCTTTCTAGAAGAAAATTTAGGCACATTTGGGTAATTGGACGATAAATCCTAAATCATTCTGGTTTACAGCAAATCAACATACCCCAACTTTTCCTAAATCGTCTACGTCTTGCTGAAAAATGTTATATTCGAATAATGATTTTACTTGATTTCGAGCTCTGACAGTTTACTGGACAATAATCTTCTGACTAATTTGACAGTCATCAAATAGTCAGAAGTTTCTGTACGACCAGTGGATCAGTTGGTAATCGGTCCAAGCTCCCTCAGCCAACTCGTAAAGTTCTCCTATACGCAATTTATACAGTCAGTGAAGTGTCAGTGACAGCTAACTGAGTAAACTAGGTCATGACTTGTCACTGACTATTAGTTTGCTGATTGTCAGCAAACAGTCTGTACGAACAAACCATATACTATAATATGGCCCTGCTCTATCATATAGTGAACAAAGAAAATTACAGCGGATTCAGAATTCGTGCGTCAAATTTTCTTGCGGAATACGAAAGTTTGATCATATTTCTCATCAATTTAAAGAACTTGGTATTCTGCAGATTAAAAGCATGCAAAAAGGTGCCTTATTAACACTCACATAAAGTGTTAGCCACCAAACCACGTCGATATTTGCACAAGAAGTTAGCACGATCTAGCGATGTAAGTCAATTGAATACAAGAAATAGAAATATGTTAGTGAGACGCTTACATTTTAAAGCTGTCTGCAAAAAATCATTTAGTTATAACGCTATTAAATTATATTATTATCTACCTGTTACGTTTCAAAATTACACATTACTTGATTTTAAAAAGAGACCCAAACTAAAAATGCAAGCCGAGGTCTGATGATGAACACAAAATGCTGGAAATCTGGACTATTCTTGTAATTGCTTAACTTTTAGTGTGTTGTTAAATATTTAATTATTGAGTATTATTCATACATTAAACAAATAAATCCCATTCATTATTGTAATTATGTAGCTTTTGCGTCCTAGATTCGTATCAAAGGAGGCTACATTAATTTTTTTTTGTTATATATGTGCGTAGCCATCTTTCTTCCTAAGAGCTATTACTCAACGTTATATGTATATGTTTAAATGAATAATGATATGGTTATTACGTTATGTTTGCTATAAATCTGTTCTAAAAAGGTTGACTTATTTTCGATATGCAATAATTGCTTTGGTTGACTTTTTTTAATGATGACAGAGTTGTGTAGGAAACACCGAGTCAATCTACTTGGCGCCATTTTTTATCTAACATTCTTGTTCGGAATGATAAAACTGATCATGTAGTTCGAATTTTAAGTTTCGCCAACTGGTGCATCCGCATCTATTTATACGTCTGCATCCACATTTATCAATGTATAATGTTAATGCACTCAAAAAGGAATTGTTATACCAAGGGATAAAAAATGGTTGATTTAGATAAGAATTTAAAGCACATAGTCTTTTATGGTCACTACCATTCAACGAGTATAGTTGTTTCTTTGATCAACGCATGATATTGCTTGTTCTTTCTCGTTGAAATAATTTTTTGAAGTTGAGATTGAACTGTATTTGATGAGTGATGGTTATAATGCAAGTGGTGATTTCATTTCCACTATAGAAGTCTGTAGCTCACCACTGATAATTTTGCGACAGGTTGCCGAGACCTTCAGGGAATCTAGGCGGTACAGCGGAAATCAGAACAAGTTTATATACGTATACTAAGTGACATATAAATCCGAAGACCCAGTTTAAATGGTTTTATTTTAATAAAATTTTGTATAAGTACTTAATGAAGCATAATAAGTAAATGATAAAAATTTCAAAATGATTGCACTGCTTTAAAGCCCTTTGACCTTTAATAATGTGTGGATGCACCCTAATGTGCTACGCATTCTCCAACGCGCCTAGGCATGCTTCTGATCAGGTGGTCAATGTCCTCCTGTGGTATCTCATTCCAGGCAACCACCAACTCCTCTCGAAGTGCTTCTAGAGTCTGAGGAGGACGTTGCAAATTGAGCAATCTCCTACCCATCATATCCCACACGTGCTCAATTGGGAATAAGTCGGGAGATCTTGGTGGCCATAGTAACAATGAGACATCATTATGTTGAAAGAAGTCTATTGTGACTCTTGCAACATCTGGTCGGGCATTATCTTGTTGGAAAGTTGGATCTGCCAGGGTGTCAAGATAGGGTAAAAGATGGGGTTCTAGAACTTCGTGGATATAACGCTGCGCGTTCATGTTACCTCTGATGAAGATTAAAGGTGACCTGGAACCATAAGCTATAGCACCCCAAACCATAACTCCAACAGTGTGATGAACATGTCTTTCAACAAAAAACTGTGGATTCCTCCTTTCACCACGTCGCCTTCTAACTCTGGCACGACCACCGTGCATGTCTAAACAAAATCGAGACTCGTCACTAAAGACGATACTGTTCGATTCCTGATCCCAGAGTGACCGTTGTCTGCACCACTCAAGGCGATTACGTCGGTGTTCTCGAGTTAAAGGGAGGACCCAGTGTGGCCGGTATGAAAACAAGCCAAAACTTCTCATTCGTCGGTAAACACTTCGCATGCCAATAGGTCTTCCGTGTTCTGCAAACCATTCATTTGCAATGGACCTGGTAGTGGAGAAACGGTCCCTTAAGGCCAATAATCTTAGGCGGCGATCTTCACGGTCTGTTGTTCTACGGCGGCGTCCAGTGCCCCTTGCTCTTTGCGTACGGCCTTCTCGAAGTCATGCCTGACAACACCTAACCACAGTGTCTACACTTCTTTGCACTCTAACTGCAATTGCCCGAAAAGAAAGTCCAGCTTCCCGAAGTCCCACTATACGGCCCCTATCAAACTCATTAAGTTGACGAAATCGTACAGGTCTCCGTACTCTAGGCATCGTAACCGATCGTAAAGGATGTCAAGAACCAAAATCTGCCAACGTTGATTCTTTACTGCGGCTGAAATATTCATTTTTAGAGCGTTAGTGAATTAAAAAAAAGCAGTATAAAAACCGGAATGTCCAACTGATAAGGCTGAAAAATTTTTCATTTGTTATTTACAGTAAGATAAATACATTCACCAACTTTTATTAAAATAAAACCATTTAAACTGGGTGTTCGGATTTATATGTCACTTAGTATTCGTAGTATAAGAAATAATTGATTATTTATTATTAATGTGATCATTTTAATTTGAATTTGTGCATTTTTTTATTTTAAGCCCCACATAGGTGTGTGTCGTAAATGTCAATCACCAGGATCAGCAGATGGGATAAATCATAATGCATTTTCCTCAGCGACTGAGGCAACTAAAAACTGAATGGAATCACTCTCTTAAATATACATCTGCCTCGATCAGTTTGACAGAAACGGGCGTTGATCCAGATATAACCAGCCTTCCAGGACATAGACAATATTCTGCATTTATATCAGTTGTCAATGTGATTAATCGAGAGTATAGTTTTACAAAATTTGATACAAAACAAAAGAACCTGCATTTTATTTGATTGGTCTCCACATGTCCGCTTATAATAAATACAAAAAATCTTAGTTTTGATCAGCTATGATTGTTTTCAGGACCGGCAGGAACTATTGACACGTCAAATGGCTTACTTGCATCAGGATTGATTAGGGCACCAGGGTTAATAGGAAAGGGATTGATTATTGGTTAATTCTGCATGTCCTTCTAACAACAATGCACCAACATAGCGTCACTGACTGATTTGTATTGTAGTTTTTATAAATAAATGATATTAGCATAGTTTAAAATTCGTTTTAAATTTTCAGGTATATTGTTTATTTTTTAAATCCCGATTTTCTATCACTACCAAAAGCCTATATTGAGTTATCAGTAAGCACATAAAGGTGCACGCCCATTGGGCAGAATGGAAGCGGAGAGAAGATAATCGAAACCTTTCCGCTGAAGCGACGTGTCATCCACCTGTGAGAATGACAAATATCGCCGTGACCCTTTCTACATCTCTCTCTCAGACCTCAGACCTCAGTGGATTAGCAACTTGATACAATATTGGACCTACTAAAAATTGACGGAATCAATTCCAGTGCCATCTACAAGACACTAACCTTTTCAAAAGAGGCGTCTAATTATTTCGGATAGGAGAAATATAGTTGTGACAATTTCTCATAGATCACGCCCTAATACCATTCATCTCGAATATTAGACACAATGGACCATGAATTACCACTGAAAAAAACAAGGATCGGTAACAAATCAGACCTCATAGGGCGAACACAAACTGTTGTTGTGGATAATACAAGATCTAGGTCCAAAGCAGTAACTGCGGGAAAACCACAGGGATCAGTAATGTCTTATATTATTCCTGCTATTTACACACACACACACACACGGATGACACAAATATTGAGGTATCAGCTAAAAATATGAGTGAAACGACATTAGAGCAAATACATCAGTGAGTCAATTTCAAGCATCGTACAACCACGATGCACTAATCCTTAATGGGACAAAACCAACTTTATGTGCTTCGTCCCAAGAAACTTGACACAAGACATATCACCGTTAATAACAATTGATGGATACAGTATTGAAATGCTGGAGCACCCAAAATTCCTAGGTGTAATGTTCGATCAGATGATTTTATTTGCTATACGGAACCTTCGTGGAACAGTTTCAGAACATGTTTTAGAAACAGTTTATTTTTTATTAGTACAGTCAACACTAGCATACGGGAAAAATTGTACTGCCGTCCGTTATTTATCAAGCTGTCCATACTAACACTTCGTTCGCTGTATATGTTATGTTTTTTCATATTTATTTGCCCATTTTTTGTATTTTGGCGAATAATTATTATTATTATTATTATTATTATTATATAGGGTGTTTCAAATTTGACCCTCAGCATTGGGATATCTGAATCTGTAAGAGATACGAAGTCGCTTTAATGATGCAAAGTTACGTATTTAGGTAATCAACAAAATGCCGCTTAGAAAGCTTCGAAACTAAAAGTACTTCCGCAAATAGGCGGAAAAACCAAATTTTCAGAAAATCGTTTAAATTTTTTCCTGACTTTATTTGTTGTGGGACTTCAAAATAACTCGCATAATAACATCACCACTCTTTCTCCTCTACAAGATGGCATGACCAGAACTTCAATATGACGTGTCGCCTCTTATCCTCCAGCATCAACTTTATTCTTTCTTATGGGCGCCATATTAGATTTTTGCTCAGATGAATAGAGTTTTTAATTCTGATTCCACAAAAGTACAATACGTCATACATTGCATTGCCAATCCTTAGTTAATTCAAAAAAGCAGGATTACCTAGGTGAGCCTTGAAAATATCAGATTGTCATTTGCTTTGCATTCCAGATTTATCCCAAAATCGCTTTTATTTTTTCCTGACTTCATTTGAGATAGGATTCTTCTTTACATTTTTTTAAACTTCCATCACCAACTTTCTTTTTTCATATGGACGCTATATTGGAATTTTGTACATTGTTCCCTTGTTGTTGAATGAAAATTACAAAGAAAATTATTTTGTAGGCCTGACTCTTCTCTGTACATTATTCGCTGCTCGATTTATCTATCTCCAACCAAACTCTGTTACTATGTTTGATTTCAGGTCCGCACGGGCAGTCGTTTTTTGGCATATCGTAGGTTTTATGGGACATAACGTATGTTTTTCTACAAGATGTTAGCTTAGCACAAGCTGTTATAAACTTGTTGTAAACTCGTTTTGTAGCTGTGTACGTGTTGCTTAAACGTCAGCGAACACCGATCATATTGAGCAAACGTGGAATGAACTATTTGCACACTAAGAACTACCTGTCTGCAAGATGATATTCTATGGATTTTTTAGATTTTTTACATAATACCCCTGATTGTCTGGTATACAAAACAAATGAAATCTGATGATTTCAGGGCCTACTTAGGAAATTCTGTTTTTCTGAAATATCTGAGGTTTGGCAATGTCAATGTCTGACACACATTTTTGCTGGAGGACAAGAGACGAAACGTCATATTGGAATTAAAATTAATGTGCAATTTATTTTGAAATCCCACTACAATTAAAGTCAGGAAAAAATTAAAATCATTCTGAGAAAATGCGCTACTTTGAATTTCAAAACTTTCTAAGCGGCAGTTTGTTGATTACCTAAGTACGCAACTTGGTTTTCATTTAAGCGACTTCGTATCTCTCACCGTAACCGAGATCCCTATGCAAAGGGCCGAATTTGAAACATCCTGTATATTTATTTTATCATTTATGTAAAGAAAATGAACCCCTCTTCCCAAGAATTCAATCGTTTCATGATTACAGCACAAGGGAAAATTGCAATCTACGACAGTCGTTTCTGACCGTTGGGCAGATTAGCCCTCTTTATATGGGGATGACCTGCTACATCAAAAATATATAAACACTCAGGGAGACAATAATGATCTCACTGCATTTAGAAACAAATCATACAATTATTTAGTGACTGAAGTCATTACTCTCTAGATGAATTTTTATTAGGTTTAAGAATTTTATAGTAATGTCCATAAACTCAACAATATTTTATCTCATATATTTTAATGTGTTCTTAGCCAACCAATTTTGTGTTTTTAATATATATATATATATATATTTTAATGTGTTACTTGAATTTTAACTTGTATATGTCGTAGCAACTCACTTTACTTCCTCACATTCAAAATCTATATTATAATATTGTTACTTAAGTTTATCTTTTTTTTTGTGTAACATCGAGATGTCGAGATAGAAGGTAGAACATATTAAGCAAATGGTATGATACAAATACGTCATTCTTGATACCACACCCTGATGCCGCTTTGTACACCCAAAGGAGTATCGCAGAGTATTCTCAGAGCTTATATCACCATGTATTTTGAATCTCCAGCGCTTGAGTCCTACGCAGTGACACAAGAGATAGGCAGATGATACTTCATCCTTGGTAGTATCTTGCGTTATTCCATGAACTCAGGACTTCCTACAAGCCCCCCGCAGGGGGGGGGGGGTATTGACAATTGAAAATTGAATGTCGAAGGGAGGGGAATCGGCGATATTCGCTTCTTGATTTTCTATAGGAAACTTTTACAGTGTGGTTACAGACATTAACCATCTTCTTCATTTCATAAGAATCAGTTAATGAATTTACGAGTCTTATCTTGAGATTAAACGAAGGATGATAACATTCAGAATACACTTTTTTCTAATTCGGGCTCTCGTTAATGTGTTAGCATCTTCGGGAATAAGAATATGAGACCGCAAGAAAAATGACTAGTCATCCTAAGAACGGTATGTACCGTAAATATCGTATATTAAAAGTTTATTATATCCTGTTAACAGATGATGTAAAAAGTTTGCACACTTTAGAATATTTGTACACTGTTGTTTGTATACTTTTTGCATTAAGTGATAATAAGTGATAAGTATCTGGAATTTTCAAGAAGATGTTTCGTTGTAGAAGATTTCCCATTTACAGAGACTTACCTCACATTCTTATTCCTGAAGAAATTATTAACAGTAACGAAATCCGCGAATTAGAAAAGTCTTCATTCCCCAAGACCTAAAAGATTAGTTTGGTTAGTCCAATTGCTTAATGCTGAAAAGTTTGGATAGTGGCAGTCGTTCCGAGTAGCTTGGCTTCTATGGTCTAGAGTCCTACTGAAAAATCTTCAAGAAATCGGAGATTTAGCAGTAATCTTAACTAATAACACTTTATTAAAGAAAACAGTTTAAGTATAATTTATCTCCTCCAAATTCCGGCGTGTCCCCATCCGTGTCCTCCAATGACCGCCCCTGGGGCCACTGCTGCACTGACCACCCCTCCTGCAATGGGAGCAGCAGCCAGCGATCCTGCTTGGGCGGCTGCTGAGATAGCGCTGCCGTCGGGGCCTAGGACGGAGGCATGGGCACCGGGTCCGACCAATAGGGCTCCGGGGTTTGCGGGGCCCACCAAGGTGGCGCCTAAGATGGAGGCGGTACTGGACGCTACGAGGCCGGCGCAGATGAGCAAAAGTACCTGCGAAGGAAATAAATATGTATGGTAAGATGTATCCAGGATAGAAATAAAGTTATATGCATGAACACACGCAGAACGGGAGTACGTATGAATGGTAACCTCTAATTTGCTCTTCAAAAAGTTGCCTATTGAAAGCATCCGGATGCCTTTGACCTTGACAACAAATCCGACATGCAGTTGCTCATGCTTGATTTTTACAAGGCTTTTGATAGGTAAATCAAGATTCTCTTTTGAGCAAGTTAAAGTTAATACTTTAGCTTGCAGAACAGCTGGGTATTGCATCACGATAATGCTCCTTGTCATACAGTAGTGCCAATAAACGAGTTGTTGGCCAGTAAAAACATTCCTGTGGCTCATCAGCCGCCTTATTCACCTGACTTGAGTCCCTGTGACTTTTTTCTCTTCCAAAATTTGAAAAATTACCTCAAGTGAACTCATTTTGTGACAGTCGAAAACATGTAAGTGGCTGTAACCGACCAGCTGAAAGCTATTTCAGTATCGGAGTCCCAGCACTGCTATGAGGAGTGGAAGAACCGTCTCCAGTTCTGTATGGCGTCAGAAGGAAGTTATTTTGAGGGTGACAATATAAAATTGTAATTATATTTGGATAAAAAAATAATAAAAATCAGTCGTACATGAAGCAAACTAGATCTTTATATCGTATTAACGTATAGTAATAGGCACTGTCATCAGAGGACAATATTACAAGTCGAGTATCCTGATTTATCAACGATACTAATATTCCATTTTTGATAATGCTAAGAATCTAGGTGTTATAATTGATCTAAATTTCAGATTTAACAAACGTGTGAGTAATATCATGAAGTCAAGTTATATGAAGAAAACGCCATATTCAAAACTTTAAATGTTGTAAAAAGTTGTGCAAATGCCTCATATTGTCAATTTTAGCTTACTTTCTAGTCCTCATTTGTGTGACATACTTACTGCCAAACGAGAATGAGAAATATATGCTGTAAAAAGCAAAACCTATAAAAACAGAAACGCCAAATAAGCTGCGTTGGATAAAATCAGACTGATTTTTGATCCAATTAGAGGTCCTTTATTCAGCATCTGGAGCACATCCATTCCCCGGTTCCTCTCCCTAATCCATTTTTGAGACCAAATTCTTTTACGGTTTTGTTTACTTCGTTTTTTCATTAGGTTTTCTACAATTGTCTATTCGTTTAAAGTAATAAAGTAGCAAGCCGCAACAAACAGAATGACTTTGACGTGATAAATGGCAGTTCGAAGTTGACAGTTATAATTGTTTTCTATAGACTGCGCATGATTTCGTACCAAATTTATTATAGAAATTTCTTTACGTGGCAGACCGGATTGTAATTTGTAAACAAATTGGGAACTAAGTTCAGCAACGCATTTTCTCACAAAATGTATGAACGAAATTTTGTATCATGGCAGACGGCATTTATTGAGTAAAATGTGAACTGAACCATTTTTCTACTGTCATTAAATTCGTGAAAACGGTTTTAAGCTTGCGTTATTAGACATAGAAGATACGCAAAAGAAGAATTAAAGAAAAATGTCGTCGCCTTAAGTTACTTCAAGATTTTAGAAAAATTGTTCATCTTCTCATCATCGGAATTAAGTTTGCATGATTTCCTTTGAATTGTTCTATCGTTTAATAGAGGCTTTAGAAGCATAAAGTGAAATAAATATTTTTTAGTGTTAACTCATAAATATCGGTTTCGCAGTTGCTGGGATAACGAAGTGAAGAAAGCAATGCATATTAAATACCTTGTTCCAAATGAAATATACAATAAAGTAGATAAACTCTGTATTTTAAATTGTAGTATCATTGGGTTAAGATGATAGTGTTCTTCAAAACTAATATTTTAATTATTCTTAAGAGAACCTGACTATTTACTTTTCTGATTTTTATGGAATCCACTATTTCTGAGTATTTGACATTTTAGTTCACATAAGTACCTAATGGGCTGGAAGCTTGTATCACATCAACTGACTGTTCATTGTCAATTACTCACCAGTGATTTCATTTTGAATTTCACTATCTTGCACTACGCAGAGAACTAATTGTTTTTTATTCAACCCCAGTATATATAGTCCACACCTCTATGATGGAATATAAAATAAACGACCTTCAACGAAGTCTTATGCATATTTTCTATAAATTGCACTATGCAGTACTAACCTATATAATAAAAACAAGCAGGACAATGGAATATGCATCTAATGCATTGAGTATGCGTATATTGGGTGTGGGGCGTGTATCATATGCCTTATATCACACCTGTATACACAGTGAAACTAATTATGGACACCGAATACATAATTATTCTTAATAGTCCTAGAATAAGATGTAAATCTTTGGGATGGTTTCCCTATGGAGACACATGCTTTTATTTATGTACGAATTAGCTTATGTCCACAACACTTATTAGATGCAAAACTGCTTATTTCCATTAAGATCAAGCAAAATATCTTATTTCCAAAATAAAAAATTACCTTTTTGATTAGTTTTCCACCCAAATTAGAGTTTTATTTTCATATTTATTAAAGCACCACTTGACAATGACAATACAACTCATTATTATGACTATTTAAAAAACTTCAGTTTTTCCCACATACTCAAAATTTATATTATTGTGACATAAGCCTGCTTGCATGTTACCTCCTCATATACGACAAATAACAAAATTATCTCCTTTCAATTTCAACTTGATTCAAAGATAGTCTATGTTACACGCATTTTGAGTACTAAAATCTATGGCACTATCTGCAATTGTATTGTTTACATAAAAGCGAACACCACATCCACTACTGAGTCTGTCTATACGCAAAAAAGTACGTGAATATGTTCTGACTGTACATGCTCACCCCACCAAGTTTCAGTTAAACCTAAAACATGAAACAAGTTGCTTATTATTAAATTGAAAATTTCAATAAAAGCAGAAAATGGCGGTCTACAATTTAGATCAGCAATGGAAAAACAATTTGACATTTTGTGTGATGTTCATAGATTAAAATTTGTATATTTATTCTTGTTACACTGCCCTCTCCCTAAAACCATTCCGTCCCGGAATGATCTTACTGGTGGTGGATGTCGATATCGGCGCGACTGCTCTTTCTTGCAGTAGGAGTTCCTGTTTCCAGGAGGTAGCTGTCTAGGACTGTGACAACATACCAGAAATCGAATGCCTGTATACCGGATGCTTCGGATGATTTTCCAGTCCAGGTTGTCTAGTCCACATGCCAGCTTAGGTATTGTCAATTTTCTCAGGTCCTCGGCAAGTAACACTTCACTAAGAGAACACAAAGCGCTCCATAAATCCTCGTAATTCGAAGCTTTCTTGGTAACCAGATAGAAGATCTTTGGGTTGGTACCCTCTTCAGTTATCTGGAGTACCTCTTCAACTTCCGGGTTAGATTGATGCAGCTCGTGCACTTTTCCAAACTTCCTGAGAAAGACCTTTGCTATACCCCTCGACATTTGCAAGTCTTGAGACACAGAGTGTGCTAGGGCATACTCTGGTGAAGTGGTAAACAGATCTTGCTGTACCTCACATGTCCTCCATACCGACTCTTACGGCCATTAGCATGGTGGGCCATAAATTGGCCAAATGTCATGTCCGGTTCTGGTTGGATTTGCCACACCGCCGCATCTTCGTTGTTTCCACGATAAGGGGCAGGTCGGTTGAAATTTACAGTTCGGGCTTTACCACATGGTGCCTTCTGAATCCTGTAGAAAACATCGTCGATGGCTTCCAAAACTTTATATGGTCCGTCCCAGGATGATTGAAGTTTAGGCGACACCCCTTTTCGCCTCTTTGGGTCGTAAAGCCAAACCGTATCACCGTTATCATACCTCTGATCTTTGGCATTAACGTCATAAGCTTCCTTCATCCGGTCGCTGGTACCTTGAATTGAATCACGAACCTGGCTATGGATGGCTTCCATTTTTCTAACCATCTCACTTACGTAGTCTTCTCCAGCAATATCAGTTCCTGGTGGACAGCCTACCTTTAGATCGCATGGGAGAGTTCTCTTCAAATTACTGTTCGAGCCGGGGTATCTTCTGTGCTTTCCTGAATCGACGATCGGTAGGCCAATAAGAAGAAGTGAAGAAAACTATCCTAGTCTCTTTGATGGCTAGAGACTACCCTAGCCAAATACCGGTTAATGGTCCTATTCATGCGCTTCACCATTCCATCTGACTGCGGGTGTAAGGCAGTAGTCCTGGTCTTCTTAATCCCAAGGATTTGACAGATACTTTGGAACAAAGTTGACTCGAAATTGCGCCGTTGGTTTGATTGCAACTCAAAAGGTACACCAAATCGACAGATCCATTCCTTTACTAAAGCATCAGCTATCGTAGAGGCTTCCTGATTTGGCGGAGCGTATGCCTCATCACACTGGCTAAAGTAATCCATTACCATAATGATGTATTTATTTTCTGCTTCACTTTTTGGGAAGGGTCCCGCCACATCAATAGCAATCCTTTCAAAGGGGCTCCCCACGTTATATTGGCGCATCGAAGCTTTTGGTTTCCTTTGCGGTCCATCACTTGCCGCACACAAAACGCATTTTCTGCACCAGTCTTTTGCGTCCGCCTTGCTATTTACCGAGTAAAATCTTTCCCTCACTTTTCCCAGGGCCTTTGTTACTCCGAGATGACCTCCAGACACAGCGGAATGGATTTCCTCTAGCAGGTCCGGGATCCGACATCTGGGGATAACGATTTGCCTTCTTTCCTCTTTGCCATCGGGGTCCACCATGTTACGTCCATCGTCCATAACTAGAGAATTCCATTGTGCCCAATATGATTTTATGGTAGGGGAATACTTGACAACTTCTTTCCAGGATAGTTTCCGTTGTTCCTTCATTCAGTTCCGAATTATTTGGAGATCAGGGTCGCCCTCTTGGTCTTTAATGAAGTCTTCATTTTGCCAAGTAGCACTAACGATAGTGGTTCTTAATACTTGGGCATCTTTCTCCTCTGCCCGCTGGCACTGCGTACAATCCGCTAAGCAGTGTCTCCTAACGTGCCCTATTTTTCCACATTTACAACATTCCAGCATGCTGTTCTGTCGGTGACGTTCACCATCAAGTTCCTTATCAATGCGCTTGACGGACTCTTCGAACTCGTTATCTCTTGGTAGCATCTGGCGGACTCGGACCTGGCTTTTATTTGTGTCTTTAGCGGCGTAGAATTCTAAGGTCCGAGCCTCCAAATGCCCTACTAACTGTTCGTAGACCTCTTGCTCTTCGGGTGATATTCTTTAAAGAATAGCTGCAGCATCTCCTCGCAGGGCTAAAGTGAGTGCAGTTGCCTTTTTGGTCGATGACCAACCATTTGCATTTGCGGCTGCCTCAAACTAAAGCCGGTAGACATCCCAAGGCGTTGTACCATTAAATTGTGGCGGTTTCATTCACAGATGACCAGCTGCCCCAACAGAAGCTCCAACTTCACTTGATTTTTCCAACGGAGGTCTACGCTGTCGTTCGTCGATAGTCTTGACGACTAAAGCGGCAAACTGTCCTCCAAAGTTTCTAAAATCCGTTTTACCAACTAGCAAGATTTTTCCATAATTTTATCTTCCAATTATTTCTTTCAATTGGCAGTATTTTCCAAAAACTTCTCTTCTAATTTGGCTGTACTTTCGTGTAACTTCAAGAGTTTTCCTTCTAGGTTGGCACAATTTTTCACGAGCTTTCCTTGTAGGTTGGCACAATTTTCCACCAGCCTATTTTCTAACTTGGCTGAGTTTTCTAAAAGATCGGCACAATTTTTCATGAGCTTGTTTTCTAACTTGGTCAAAAGGATTTGCAGCATTGAACCAATATCCCCTGCACCGGTAAAAATGAAATTATCCAGGTCCTCGCCTTCCTCAATCAGCTCTCTTTTTAAATCAGCAATTTTCAAATCAACCAATCGAGCCACTCTTTCTTCACTGATCCTACGATGTATTTTCACTAAATGTCCAATAATCCACACCCCACACCTGACACCAATGTAGCGTTTTTCTGGGTTCTTTTGAGTGTGGATTAAAACACTCGATTCCACAAAAAGAAATGCACTGATTTATTTAAAACACAACCCAACTAACTTTAACTTGACTAGATAGAACATTTATGTACATCACTATTCAAGTCTGACTACTTATTTACGAATTATTATGTCACGCCATTTACTCAACACTGCTTCCCTCTTCCGGCCGTCGGCTTAGACTTTGAAGTTGAGTCATTAATTTTCAGATAATGATTGTAGAAGGAAGATAAACCAAAATATGTGTGTAAAAATTAAAAAAAAATTTTACCTTGTTTTATAAAGTATCCTCCCAACAAGTATTTCAGTGCGGACCTGTATTTGATCGTGAGGTCTTGGAGCACCGGCATGCCCTCTCCTGTGAGGTCTTAAGTCACCTGATTCACGAGCCCGTTGTACTACATTAACAAAGGCACGAGGGGTTGGTTGCACTCGATTGGGAAACCGATCCGCATAAACATGTGCCATTTTTTATTTCGTTTGAGCCACGCAGCAAACACCACTATTCACTCACGCATTACCGACTGACACATCGACTGAATAAAAACATCGTGATCAGCGTTTCAAATTCTTTCGCTTTTTTGTTTCCGATGGGCTGAACCGATAAGGCGGATTATATCCGTTGTTGCCAAACACGAGCACATAATATTATTATTGAGACAGGGCGGTACTCAAACTTCTAAAGGGCTATAACTTTGTTACTTTAATTTTACCACAAAAATGTTAAAGGAAAAAAACACTTCTTTTGATCAGATCTACCCACTGTTAAAATAAATGACTCAACTTCGAAGTCGTATATTCCGCATCGCATGTATTCGTTAATTCGAGAAAATTCCGGTGAGCCACATAACGGCAGTCCAGAATTATTTCGCGTCGATCAAAGGAGATTCCCTGGCGCGGTTCCCAACATATGGCGCTGGTAGTACCATTTATTCTTGTTACAATACTATAAAAATGTACAAAAAAAATATGTAGATGAATCTAGATTTTTTGAAATGTGCTCCTTTTGATAGTGCGTATATAAATAAACAGGAATATTTGGATCGGTTGCTGTATGATATATATTGTGATTGTTGTTTTATTAGAATAAACACATTAAGATCATATTGTTTTTCCTCTTTGCTCGTATTTTCGTCATGATGGTCACCGCATTTCTCCTTGGTTAATAAAATGATTCTGTTTAGTAATTTGTTCTTCAATTTCTACTAACGTGCGGTTTGTAACTATTAATTTGGATTAGTGTCCTAGACATCTTTGCTTCCAAGAGTCTGTACTTCTGTGGTAATTTATCCAACAATCTGTTCGAATCACACGCAACGTATCCACGTATGTAGAAAAAACAAGTAGTTTTTTTTTATACTCGAACTACCACGAAGGCCTAAGGCCTAAGCACCCATTGAGTACCGTGGGGCTAAGTAGTGTTCAATTCAAGCAAGATGTCCTCCTACTAACAATATTAGGAATTGTGCCATCGCGGCTATTTAATGAGGACAATTTTTCGTATTTAAACCTTCTAAAGCTGCGAATCAAATTGGAAATGTTTATATGCTGGCCAATACATCCTATTATTATTATTTTTCTCTCTTCCTTCACCCTCCTGGGGTTCATATTATCTACTCTAGTACAGAGTAAGAGGTATCTAAACACACAGATAGTTGCATATCGCATTTGGCTAACATTGTTGCTCTTAACAACTTCCCATTACTTTCCTTAAAATTGTGCAAGTATTAAGAATTGCAGCCTTTTGCATCTAAGCAATCAACGGTTGCATAAGATCCAGTTGCACTAGAGAGGGGAATTATGACAGAGTGGGATGATGGTAATCATCGGCAATATTTCTACTTGTGCGAGGCCCCATTGCTCTTTCAGGTTATGGGATAGCTCCCTATATTTCTCTACCGTGTTTCTGGCGGTTGACCCTATATTATTGTCATTGGTGACTAAGAAGTCTACTATCCAAACTTTTTTTGTTTAATATCTCATAATAGTAGATCTGGTCTATTTGCAGGGGTAGTTCTGTCTGTAAAGATGGATCTGTTCCAATACAACTTGTAGTTTTGATTACAGACCATACTGGTACATACTTATAATCACACCTACTCTCTTGGATAAGATTGTGCCTAACAGCAAGGCATGGTGAACTATCTTTCCTACACCATCATGTCATCGTTTGTAGACTGTAGCTGCTAGTGTGCTACATCCTCCTGTGATGTGCTCGATGGTTTCTCCAACTTGGCCACATATTCTCCATTTATCTTCAAGCATGTTTGGATCCTTTACAATATATTTGAGGTAATTTCTTGTAGGTATGACTTGGTCCTGGATAGCGACGATGTATCCTTCAGTAGCTGGGAAAAGTTGGCCAGCATATACAGAATGAATTAACCATCTATCAACGTTTTTAGAGTCTTGAATTGCTGGGTATCTTCCATGCAAAGCCTCTCTCTTCTAGGATTCTTTCATATCTTCTATGGTCATCATAGTCAGTAAGCGTTCGTTCTTCAGGTTCAGAGGTGTATATCTGTGTGCAAACAGCATTATGCAAGCAAGAGCACACTGACTTTCTGGAAAAGTATGAGCACATTGACTGTATTTGTTTGGTGTTCATGTCTGTCAAGTTAATAAAGCCTAGTCCTCATTCACTGCGTGGAATATACATTCGCTCTACAGAACTTCTCTGGTGGTGATTTTTATAAAAAGTCATCTGTATCCTAACTTTCCTGTCAAGTTCTTCAAGATCGGTTTGACTCCACTTGATCACTCCCATGGTACATACAGGTACAATTATACGGATAACGTAAGTGTTAATGGGTGTCGTCATCATCATTATTATTATCTTTTTCTTCCACAGACGTATCTGTCTGGTAATAAAGGATAGACCAGATATCAACCAGATATCAAAGAGACTATCCAAGCACCTTCCTTAGTATATGCCCTGTTCCTAGTAGTGCCGTTTTTTGAATTTGATAGAGTGCTGGTTTACCGGGTATTGAGTCACAATTTCCGTGGAAGGTTTTTGTGATAGTTCCTAATGCACCGACAACGACAGGAGTTATCCAAGCTTTCACATGCCACATCCTCTGTATTTCTATCTGGAGATCGCTGTACTTAGATATCTTTTCATTTTCTTTCGATTTTACATTGGAATCGTCGGTAACCGCTATATCAATTAGTTGACATGTTTTCTCCTTTCTGTTATGAATTATAATGTCAGGTCAGTTTGCTTTTATTGTTCGATCCGTTATTACCGGCACATCCCACATAATACATACATCAGTGGTGTCATTCTTGATGTTGGTGACACTCTGGATTTCATGCTGATAATAGTTATCTGTAACTGGAATACCAAATGAGTCACATATTTTCCAGTGAACGTAACTAGCCACATTGTTATGTCTAGCGGTATACTCTGAAGGGGCTAGTACTTGGCAACTTGCTACTATATGGCTAATGTGTTCGTCGGACTGCCCGCATATTCTGCATTTACTGTCTATACTTTGTTTTAGTATATACTTTTGGTGGTACCTTGTATTTAATGCTTGATCTTGTGCAGATACTATCAGAGCTTCTGTTTCCGCTTTCAGCGTAGAGCTTCTCAACCAACTGACACTTCCACGTTTATCTACTTCTGTTCTCTCGAGTTGTCGGAAGAACTGTCCGTGCAATGGTTTCGAGGCTACTTTTGCTAGTCTGCCACTTTCAGCGACGTTCTTGATCTTGTCGATTGAGTTTCTGTTGGAGTCTTCGCCTCCTAGATGTTCCGACATAATCTTCTTCATCTCTTTCTGGATGGAGTATTTGCAAAGGCCATTGTCCCATTGTTTCACTATTTTTGACAGTTTGTCCTTCCCTTGGGTTATATATTCTCCGAGACCAACCATAGATGTTTCATATAGAGCTTCAATTTCTACCATTTCGCGTCCTCCATTGCGCCTCTTTACATATAACCTGTCCACGTCAGCCTTGGGATGGTGTATATGTGCCATTGTCAGCAGCTTCCTGGTTTTCCGGTCAATTCTCAGAATATCTGACTTCAGCCAATTGACAATTCCAAAGCTGTAACTTAGTACAGGCACAGCGAAAGAGTTGATTGCAGATATTTTATTTTTGGAGCATAATTCTGTCTTAAGAATCAGGCGCACACGACGATAATACTCCCTCGATATTCTGGATTTAGCATGTTCATCTTCGATTCCATCTGCTTCTTCAATGCCTAGATATTTATAGGTTTCTTCAGGCTCCATGTTCATTATTGTTGTTGCTTTATCTAGAATTATATTCTGTGCCTTAGTGAGTTTACCCCTTTTGAATATTGCTGTTGCACACTTATCCAGTCCAAATTGCATATTTATATCATCCGAGAATGTTTTCACTGTCATTAAAGCGCATTATTATTATTATTATTATTACTATTATTATTATTATCATTATTATTACGAGTATTATTATTATTATTATTATTATTATTATTATTATTATTATTGTTATTAACATTCTATGTATCACTGTTTTAACACAGGAGCTGGATGATTCAAATCTCAACATAGATAGTATTTTTGGCTTGCTACACGAGAGTTCAGAAAAATACTGCTATGTAAAAATATAGGCTGGGCCCCTAACCTATTCGATTTCGTTGGTTCATTTCACTTTGTTAATTTTTTCTATAAACGTCTCGAATTTTAACTCATCACCATGGAAGCACCTACCAGTTTTAATGAGAAATATAATAGAAACTCGTGCTTCATAAAAAGGGTATGCGTCTAAGGGGGAATGAATCTTTAAATCACCGAGTAAATATTTTTCGATGAGTTAAATTCATGAAACGGGCTTCATTCTAGGCATTCTAAGCAAAATTCCCGCTTTCCAGCCAAATTTAAAATTTGGATAGATCTTCCACTCACCCTGTACGATTTGCTTGCTGTCACATCGTGTCACAATTTTCATACTGCAAGCAAGTCATATACTTTTTGAGTACATGAAAAGAAAATAATTCATGATTCATGAGCAACACGATGATAAAGGAAAAGATTGATGCCATTGACGAGGAAGCGGTACCAAGATATTCATCGATTACAGATACAGGTCAGTTAGATTGAATAGTATCAGATACAAATATCAAATTTCTTATTATATTACTGACTATAACATGTGCACGAGTACACATACAATTTTTAAACCCATTATAAAAATACTTTATTGTTCCTGAGGTTGACCTACATCGCCGAAACGTTGTAGGAATGAATTTACTCTAAAAAATATCAAATTCAAAAATCTGCATCTACGCCAAGAAGACATAATGTTGAAAAGAATAATATTTATTTTTCCTCAAAATATATGGATTCGAGTGTTGAACGCTGTACCTAACGTTAAAAAGTGGAAGGACAAAGTATTGGTCCCGAACGGAGTTCCGTACCAATGCTAGATGTTAGTTCACGCTGGGAAAACACCACCCTGAACGACTTGATACACAGGAAATTGGTGGACGCATTGTTAAGCATGGACTCATGTGATGTGTTGAACGCTGTGGTTAGCGATCAAAAGTAGAGAATCTCTCAATCTCCTGGTTGGCATTCACTCATACTACTAAACTAAAGTGAAATATTCAGCATGACAAAGTTCGATAGAGAAAAAACTATGAAAGTTAGTCGAACACTGATATAAGACCGCGCGAAACACCATCTACCGCTAGCCATTGAACAAAATAAAATAAACATGCTTTGTTTTCGTCCGTCTAACCAAAGGCAGCCAACTATGGACAGCTATTTCATTCTTGGCGACTCGTCAGCATGGTCAAAGCTTGAGTGTCTCGAGCAACAAACGAAAGCATAGCAGCAATTCATTAAATAAAGTGTGTGATCTATCGCAAAAGAACATCGCGAAGCCTACTGCTCGAATTTACAACTGCGAAACAGTGAATCGCAGCCTACTGGTAGGAGCTGTATAGATCTCAGTCCGCAAATTGGAGGACCACTCACCACGTGACTGCTAGATCGCGACAATTCTGGCTGTGTAGTAGATGAGGTCTACTTGTCTTTTATCAAAATGAAATAATTAACATTGTTTTACTTAGTCGAACATTGTGAGATTCTTTTAAAGGTGTGTCAGATTTTACGTCAAGTTCCAAATGCTTTGGGCTTTTAGTTTCAGTTTTTGTATTCAGGATCGGTGAAAGGGGCGACGGCGGTGTAGTTGTATGACTCTTCGCCTCCCCATTACCATTTATACTACTACATTTATACTTTGTGGATATGGTTAGACCATCCGTTTACACTCTATTGCATCCAAGGCGACATAATTTTGAGAATGATATTAATTAAAAAGGTCTAACACAAACTTTAATCTGACCTTTTTTACATGTCTTAAGACGTGTTTTGTATTTCACAGGGAATTCGCAACCGCGTTTGAGAAAATGTATAAGAAAAGGTGACATAGTGTGCTTTACAGATGAAGAAAATATACATATGGTTAATCGTAAGACCCAGAAGCACAACTCAACGAAAACTACGTTGGATCCTCAGAAATCCATGGAAAGGGTGAGGTCTGGAGAATCACTTTATAAAGTAAGCAGCTGCAACTTGTCTCTATACTTAACACTACACAATTATTTCAGCTTAGAAAAACTCAGTGGGAAAATTGTAACAATAAAATTATAACATAATAGTAACTTAAATTATGATGATGATTATATTATATGTGGATTTGATGCTTAAATTCAAAACTGACCAATATTACACGAAGAGTGCGGACACCATTGAGTGTAATGGAAGCTCTGCTGGATCTTTTAGCGGTAGTTCTAGTGTCTGGTACATGGACGGTTAGTAAGACGGCTCTGGCATCGGAGTCGTTGGGCCTAGAACTAGGCTCTCACTGCCTCTCGGTGGATACACCACTATTTTCCAGGTGGTAATCTATGCGACCCTAGCTTGTGTATCCCGCAGTCTGCCGAAGGAAGGGCCTAGGAGAAGAATGACAACCTTCTCCGACAGCCAGGCTAAGATGAAGGCACTAAATGCCTGCAAAATTACCAGGTTTGAATTGCAATGCAGGGCGGCTCTCGATAGCTTAGCAGTAAGGTATCTGCTATCCTGAGTGTGGGCAACGGGGCACGCTAGGATGAAGGGTAATGATATAGCGGACGCTCTCCCGAAAGCAGCATCAGCGAGCAAGCTTGTTGGTTCTGCGCCAGCCCTAGGGATGCAAGCTCAAAGAGTCGAGAGGATAACGGAGAAGTAGATTTCTAAATGGAATAATATCTCTAGACATCTTCGTCAGGCACGGGAGCATATCTTAGTGTTTAGTGCTGGAGACGGACGGTTTTGCTTATCTTTAGATAGACTCATCATCTGTTGTTGGTGGGACTGTTGTCTGGCCATCACACGATGAGACATCACCTGCAAGTGGTGGGGGTGGCCGAGGATCCCATGCGGGAGCGCTGCGAGGTAGAGGAAGAGTCCTCGGCTCATGTTCTGTGTCGCTGCGAGGCTCTGGCTACTACAGCCAGACTATACTGGGGTCCAAGAGTCTGGATTCCCAGAATGTTAAGGAGTTGGAACTCAGGGCGATTCTCAACTTCGCTAGAAGGGCGAAGCTTGAGACTTAGCAAATGTAGTGGTCGCACCCATGCTGCTTTAGACACAACACTACACAAGTTCGTACGGTCTGCGCAGCTTCAGTCGTCGGACAGCGTTGTTGTTATCCAGCAGTTGCAGAGCTTGATGCTTCTTTGACGAAGAGTTTGCAAAGCAAACAGGGATTGATTTCAATTCGCACAGACTGATTTTCAACATCTGGATTTGTTTCACTAAATTAAACTTTACAACAGAACTTGATAGATATTTGTCAGTTGCAATTATCTGCAACTGCAGCAGAAAGATCTTATACTCGTATATACAGAAAAAAAAGATAAACATCTTTAATTGAACACCATTCATTATATTTGTTATATATTGGGAGTTTTTTGGAAAATAAAAGAAATACCTCATATGATTGATTGATTTGGCTTGACTTATTTATGAATGCTTTACTTATGCAGTTTTTTTGTCAGATAAGGTTTTTTAGAATAAAACTAGTCTATAAGCAACGCAAGTGAAGTGAAAATTGGGTTAAAGTTCGGTTGACGTCGGGTTGGTTTTGGCGATAACAGCGCCCGTGTCACATATATCAATGCTTTCGTGTATTGGGTTCATATAGAATGACTGATAGCGTATACCTATTATATACCATATATGAACATGAAATCACCTCAGATTCTACAGATCGCTTCATCACATCAGTAAATGAGAGAAAACAATAATTCGACAACTTTTATAATGCTCCATAATTTTTGTAAAAGCTTAGGACGATGGGGAATTTTGGTGTGTGGTCTGTAAAAAAAATCATTTTTTTGAGAATTTATGCAACTTTTTACTGCATTTCATCTCAGGTATAATACGGATATCTCACTCCTCATTCTCCATGTTCTAGACATTTACATTTGCTCAAAGCCTGAATGATGAAGACACAGAGAAATGTATAGCATTTTGGAAAAGCGTAATGGAAAAGCATTTGGAACCAGTCAAATGCCATATCGTAGAGAACAGAGAATATCAACCGGCCGAGAATTTCAAAGAAGCTACTTATGAAAATGAAAAAAATTGCGAGCCGGAAAAGAAAAACGAAAAGGTTAATATTGAAGATGAAGTAGACGAGAAGTTAAAGTTGGTCCATAAGGAGTATAGAAATATGTGGGATAAAGCTATAAAACAGTTGCAAAAGAAAAAACTAGATAAGATAAAGGTAACATATGTTATTATCAGTAATGATGCTTTCTCTTAAAAGGAAAGTAATTTCATCATCTCATCTATACAGGGTGTTCCGCACTTATATGGACATAGTGAAATAGTAGGTAGTATGGACCAAGACATTTTCATTCCTGAAAATAAAAAAGTCCTAAATTTACAGTTATACAGTGTGATTTATCATCACATATCGTAGGCGCTATTAAACCGATATAGTTGAAATTTTGCACGATTACAAAGCCACCTAGGAGTAACGTAAAACTAGACGAACACATCAACACCTTTTAAACCAAACAGTCATATGTTTGTCTATGAACAAAAAAAGCCAATGAATGTTGTTAATAAATTAGCAGAATGGATTTTTTGGTTTCTTGATTAAGAGTTCTTATTTATTCATATATCTTATTTTTGTGAAACAGAAGACGAAAATAATGCTTAAAATTGAACTGCAGATGTTTTGTGAGTTTGAAATTCCAACGCCAGATTAAATTTTCCGGACCTGTTAGGTTTTCTACATTTTCGTCATAATTTTTAATTGGTCTGAAGAGTAAAATTGCTAGGTAGATTTATATCATTAAAAAATTGTTAAAAAACTAGATAGGGTATATAACATTAACTTTTCTTCTTATTTATTTTATATCATGTATTGCCCGTTTTACTGCGAAATAATAGTAAATTCATGATAATAATCTACAGGGCGTTGTTCTAAATAAACTACAAGGAAATAAAAACACTGAATTCAGAATTCAACTTTGGCGTTTGACCTCCCAAAACATCTTTAGTTCCATTTTAAGCATTGCTTTGCGGAATTTTGATGAAACCAAATTGATAACCTTTTAAATTGTGACGTCTGAACCACAATCCTTATACACACTTACTAATCGAAGCCCGAGGAAGTTTGTAGGCATGTTTTTATCTGCAAACATATACAGGGTGTTCAAAAAGTATGGATAAATCAAAATTCTTTGGAAAATTTCTCAGAGAAAAATGTTGTAAAACAAAGTTGTAAGCTTTGAAAAGATTGATCTAATGGTGATCTTGTGATCGTGTTTAATTTAAGTCAATTTAAATCTGTGGTTAATGTAGCTCATGAACGATGGTATGGTTTTTATGTTCATAGGACTCCACTGACCTGTTTTTAAAATGATATGTTGCTAATAAGAAAAAAATAACTGACGAATATCTAAAATTTTAGTATACAAATACAACAGTGCTGTGGAATAAGAAGTCCCCACTTTGTGTAATATTTTGATGACATATTTTATAAGAAGGTATAAATAATTTTTCCTATATAATTTTTGGTTCAGCACCCTAAACTGTATTACAGTATTGTATGTGACTGCGTACGAGAGCATAATATGAAATGATCATTTACCCATAAGTGAGGAAAGTAGACGGATATTTAAACTAACTAACGACACAACGTATTTTTTGTTAACGTAATCCGCATGCTTATCCCATTTGATATAACGGTCAAGATATACTCCCAAGTATTTGACACAGATGACCGCTTGTTCAGTTTTGAAGCAATTAAACTTGTAAAGGGTGACTCTTGAGAGATTATGCATATTGACGGCAGTTTAGCAACAAAAAAATATGTACATGTTCATAACAGAAACTCATCATTTTTCAGTTGGATACAAAGTCTCGCTGTCCAATGTGTCAGACGCTAAATACTCCATTCGAAGAAAATATATGTGGGAATCCTAACTATACTGAAAAAGAAATTAAAGATCTGAACAAGTGGAAATCTACGTCGAGGAAGAAGACATATGCTACTGGAACCTCTGGCAGTAGATTTGGTAACTATGTCATTTTAAAAGAAGGGAACCTACGACGATGAGAAGTTCTATACTGGGTGTACACCTTGTCAATATTTCAGATACATATAAAGGTCAGGCCTTCTAAGTATGTAGTTGTTGAGCCAATATCCGACAACGTGTAAAATTCGCAATATTCTGGAGGCACTAGTCCGTCCCTGGTAATCTAATTGAGCTAATTGTCTCTATGCCTCCGTCATATGAAGCCCCAATTAGTTGTTTTGCAGTCAAAATATTACAGTTATTTGAGAGAAAAGAATTTCCAGTAGCGTTCGTTAGGACACTCTGTATAATATGAGAACGAAAAATTCAATATAGCAGCATAAATAAATTGACGCAGTTTCTGGACAGGCCACAGGCGCACCGCTAAACAAATCTCATAAATGTCTATTTCCAATTTAGGCGTTCATCTAACATAGTGCTTCGCAACAACGCCAACCCCGAACAAAATCAGTCAAGCTTTATCCAAATTACTATTGAGCAACAAACAGAACATAAATCACTTTTTAAGTGCAATCCGTTTAGCTAATATATTACTCAGACTTAGATTTGTCACAATTCACAAACTCATATATACGTATAAATCGTAAGAATTGTGCTGTGAACGTAAGTGATGTCAAAGAGCGACAGCGTTTGGGATACCAAAAAATCGCAATGCTCCGTTCCTATAGCTAGGGTAATTCGAGGATAGATGGCCCAGGTTTTGAAATTTCATGTTAAAATTTCTATATGTTGAATTAGAATTACTGTTAATTTTTTTAACGAGTCTTTATTGAGTTTAGAAGCATGTATTAAGTAATAAAATGCATTAAAAAATAAAACTTATAATTCACAAGAAAAATAAAAATAGTTGACAAAAACCATCTCCCCTACTGTGCTGAGGTGAGATGGCGCAACAAAAAAAAAAAGCTGTTTCTACCAAAATGTCACTTTGTTTTGCATATAGCAGGTATCGTGAAACCATTTGGAGCAACGTATGCAATTAACCCAGTCGTCAGATTTTGTGGTTTGGGAATATATTTCCCACAACCGGTGCAAGTCTGGTCATCGTCGTCCATATCATCTGAAGAGTCATCCAATGTCGGTGCCTCTAGTCCTTCATCTGAGGATGAATCGCTTTCCTTGTTCTCTTTTTAGTCACTTTTGGCTTCTTCAAAACCGGTTTTAATTTTCTGGTCTTTACTTTTCTCTCTTTCTCTGTTTTTTCTAGACGCTTCGTTCTTTTTTCACCAATTTTTGTCTCTGTAGTTAAAATTTCTGCCAGCTGCTTGCTTCGTTTTCGAACCGAATTAACGTCAGCGGAAACAACTGGAACGGGTGAGATTATATCTAGCATTTTTCCGGGAGTACTTTTCACGGGAGTATTTGCATTAGTTTTTCTGGTACAGAATCATCTTCAGTCTGCCAACTGCAGCAAGGTTGTTGATCATCATGCGATAAGGCTTTGTTAAAACTTTGAGAACTATCATCTGGAATTTGTTTATTTTTGCCTGCATGAGGAGCCTCAAGTACGCTGTTAATTTCAGTCAAATAGGCGTCATCTGGGATAGCAGAAGGATTGAATGGCATAATTCCCGTAGCCTTGAATGCCGAAGTTCCATTATTTACAGTTGCAGACTTGTTCCATCCCTCAGCAAGTAACTTTCCAAATTGTAATCTAGTGAGCTTTCGTCCTGGATTATTTTTAATGTATAAATTGCAAGCTGAGTAGTAGTTTAATTTTAGCGATCTGAAAAATCATCTATCTAGCGACTGTAAAAATTGCGTCGTATGACTTGTTAAGCTAAGCAGTATGATGTTGTGTTCAACACAGTATTCTAGCATCTCAACGTTATTGCAGTGTAAAGCATGACCATCAAGCAGTAACAAAACTGCCCCTGTCGGCTTTCTGGGAACGAACTGATCTTTGAGCCATTGAAAAAATATGTCACTGTTGACATAGGCCGATCTTTCAGACATGTAGACCAAGGATGCAGGAGGCATCCCATCCTCAAACTCTTGTTTTTTATTTTTTCCTTTCATTACGCAGGTTGGGGAAAGAAAAACGCCTTCCGCGTTACAACAGGCTATAACCGTGATGGTTTCCCCCTTTTCACCGGAACTGATACTTGCGATGTTCTTAGATCCTTTCTTAATAATAACATGTCCCGGCCTATTATTGAGTTGTAAGCCCGTCTCATCCATATTGTAGATATGTCCAGGTTTATTCATAAGATCGTTCTCGATAAGAGTATTTTCTAGCAGCTGAAAGTAAGCCTCAATGTCTTTTTTGTTCATACCCAGGGATCGATTAATGGAGACCCCTTCTGCTTTTCTTACTGACAGCCTTGGGTTTCTCTGCAGAAACAACTGCAGCCATGGAAAACCAGCTAATCTCTGATTCCTTATTAAAATTATGTTTAAACTGTTGTAAAAAGGAAAGCAACTAACATCAGTTGAACTGTTAGGGCTGTCACATCGTTTGATTAAAGTTCTTGATTCGTTTAACAAATTTGAACGAATTCTCAGTGGAGCGGGTCCAGATATGCCACTATACATTGACTGATATTGAAGAGAAGTTAAATGCATACCCCCAAATGCTTTGACAGTCATAATGGATTTATCATTATAGGCCTTGAATTTTTGGTTTTTATTGTTTGTCGAGGTAATAATTTCTTTTTCAATGTTTTTGGTTTTGTATCTCGAAAACTATAAGCCTCAGAGAACATTTTATAAGAACCATTGTTCGACATGATAAAAAAATTCAAGGGAGAAAAAATCGATGTTTGTAATTTGCTTAATTAAATTGTGATTTTGTGTCTGATCACGTGGAGATTCATTAGAAGGAATCATTTTTGAATAGGATTATGCAATAAAAACCGAATCAGAATACTTTTCCGGGCAGATGCCTAGGCTGTTTTTGAATTAAGTAGGAATGGCAGCTGCATAAGGTGTCTGACCTCATCAGTCAAGAATCGTTTAGCAAATTTCGCGCTGTACTTATTTTTTTGCATAGTGGTCGCGTCCCGTAAATCGCAGCGCTGAAGAGCCTTATGTTAGCATCCATTTGATATCGAGTTAAAGTAGGTGTCAAATGAGTTAAGAAATATAGCACATCGGCGCTGCAGTCTTCTGGATGGGGCCATTGTTTCCGTTTTCGCGATTAATATTCGCGTAGTTAATAAATATTTATTTTTGAGAAATAATAAGCACCAACATAATTAAAAGAAAATATCAAATGCATTTTTACAGTGTCAAGGAATCAACAAGAAAAGAAAATCAGGAACCAGAACAGATATCAGTTCTGAAACAAGGAGAGAAACAAAGAAGCAGCTTAGGAAAGACGGTACGGTAACACATAATTTTCACTTGAGTATTAAAAACCTGAGGTAGATAATATATTTAATCTTGAAATTCCATTTTCTATTCATAAAAAAATGGCATAAATATACTAAGTGACATATAAATCCGAACAGCCAGTTTAAATGGTTTTTTTTAATAAAAGTTGGTGAATGTATTTATCTTACTGTAAAAACAAGTGAAAAAATTTTCAGCCTTATCAGTTGGACATTCCGGTTTTTATACTGCTTTTTTAATTCACTAATGCTCTAAAAATGAATATTTCAGCCTCAGTAAAGAATCAATGTTGGCGGATTTTGGTTCTGACATCCTTTACGATCGGTTACGATGCCTAGAGTACGGAGACCTGTACGATTTCGTCACTTAGTGAGTTTGATAGGGGCCGTATAGTGGGACTTCGTGTTGTCAGGCATGGCTTCGAGAAGGCCGTACGCAAAGAGCAAGGGGCACTGGACGCCGCCGTAGAACAACAGACCGTGAAGCTCGCCGCCTAAGATTATTGGCCTTAAGGACCGTTTCTCCACTACCAGGTCCATTGCAAATGAATGGTTTGCAGAACACGGAAGACCTATTGGCATGCGAAGTGTTTACAGACAAATGAGAAGTTTTGGCTTGTTTTCATACCGGCCACACAGGGTCCTCCTTTTAACTCGAGAGCACCGACGTAATCGCCTTGAGTGGTGCAGACAACGGTCACTCTGGGATCAGGAATGGAACCAGTATGTCTTTAGTGACGAGTCTCGATTTTGTTTAGGCATGCACGATGGTCGTGCCAGGGTTAGAAGGCGACGTGGTGAAAAGAGGAATCCACAGTTTTTGTTGAAAGACGGTTCATCACACTGTTGGAGTTATGGTTTGGGGTGCTATAGCGTATGGTTCCAGGTCACCTTTAATCTTTATCAGATGGGGTAACATGAACGCGCAGCGTTTATCCACGAAGTTCTAGGACCCCTTCTTTTACCCTATCTTGGCACCCTGGCAGATCCAACTTTCCAACAAGATAATGCCCGACCACATGTTGCAAGAGTTACAATAGACTTCTTTCAACATAATGATGTCACATTGTTACCATGGCCACCAAGATCTCCCGACTTATCCCCAATTGAGCACGTGTGGGATATGATGGGTAGGAGATTGCTCAACGTCCTCCTCAGACTCTAGAAGCACTTTGAGAGAAGTTGGTGGTTGCCTGGTATGAGATACCACAGGAGGACATGACCACCTGATCAAAACATGCCTAGGCGCGTTGGAGAATGCGTAGCACATCAGGGTGCGTCCACACATTATTAAATGTCAAAGGGCTTTAAAGCAGTGCAATCATTTTGAAATTTTTATCATTTACTTCTTATGCTTCATTAAGTACTTATACAAAATTTTATTGAAATAAAACCATTTAAACTGGGTGTTCGGATTTATATGTCACTTAGTATACTATATAAAATTTGAATAATCATTCATAGAATTACTCGTAATATTCCACAGATAAAATATAATCGGTTTCGGTAACGATAGTGTCTATTAGAAAGGGATCGAACGCCACTGGTGTAGAAGCTTCTGTAGACAATTTGAGACATACTCGTGTAATCACAACAATTGTTGAGTACCAAAATTCATTGAGGTTGATGACTGTATATTTTACTTACTTTTTCCATTCTTTTACACTCTGTATTATGCCGACATTAAAATGGACAAGAAAATATAATTTTTGATCATCCATGGGTAAACGCATCCCCTAACGACTTTCCCCATCTCTATTTCTAAGGCAAAAAAGTTGATTTTAGGATTTTTATTTGAGTCACACTGGAGCACAATGTAAATTAATCAAATGGCCATTGTAAATAAGAAACAATGAACTAAGTGCACTCAAAGACGGTTTTTGATCGAAATCGACCTATGTGGAAGCCGTCTAGATGACGATCGATTCCTCTTGAAGCATGACGAATATACCGGCTAGTATCGCGACCACTCCCAAAGCGCTTCCGGTCGCATAGCACTGATTGCCTAAGCATCTATGCAGCAAGGGCGTCTCATCAGTACCCCAAAGTTCTAGTTAGGTTTGCTTAATTTTGCGACGACACGGCTCTTGCATCGGCCAGACATTGAAACTACGGAGCAACTTGCAAGGACAACGCCTTTTCAGATGGAAACGGTTGCTTAACGTCTATGGTTGAAGGTTGGTTGTTTCTGTGATGTTACTTCCAGAAAAACTAGTTCACACTACTTGAATGTAGTGTTACTTTCTTCTTTATGCTATAACGTTAGACGCTAAGGCGCTTGAAGTTAACAGTTATAATACTTGCAATATCGATACTTATCTCCAAGATGGCGGAGATGCAGAAAAAAAGGTAATTAATAGTTCGCCTATTATATACACCTTGGGAAAAAACATTATTATACATTATGATGAGGAAGAGAGATGGAAATACACAAAAGTATGTAGGTGCGTGAAAGACACTCGATTGTACGATCCTATGTGGCAGCGTCGGAGGGTGACGGACAACGGGGTAAAGTAGAAGAGTGATAAAAGAGAGAGATGGCAGAACGGGCGCTGGCGCCTACCGCTTAGACGGATGCGCTCAACAAATGCGATTTGTTTCTCCCATTCGCAGAGTTGCCGATACCAATATGTCATATTTCTAAGAAATCTAAGTCTACCCAAATTTCGGGAAAATAGCTGCGGATTCCACATAAGAGTATTCCAAAAATGAAAAAAGTTCAAACTATTAAAATTGTATTTCATGGTTCAAATCATATTTTTCATTTTTGTATATTGTTGTATAAATGATTTTGTAATCCCTATTCTTGTTGCCAGTAGAGATACAACAGTATTGAGAGAAATCATGGACCGCTAGATAGGGCTACAACTACCATATGACTATCAAATAGTAGTGATAAACAGGGTATGTTTATAGCACAGTTGCCTGGTGTGGCCAATTTGCGCCATAGGGGCGAATTGACAACTTTGAAGGACAACTATAACGGTTACTATGGTGCCCGGTATTCGGGAATCTGGCAATACCTGATGATTCCTAACGTTTATTACGCCATATTGTTTGCTGATTTGCGCAGTACAACATGACAATCAACGTGACTGAGCACCTGGTAACCCTGGTTTAAGGTGTTATATTTAAAGAGCTTGGGGCAGTTAGGTATCTAGGTCACATTTTTTAATGTATTTCGAGAAATCACGTTTCTTGCTTAGTTTGCTGAAAATTCTACAATAGAAACAGAGATTTGGTGACGACAAAATCGTAAAAATATAACGCATTTTCGTAAAATAATTTCTTTGTTGAAAAGACTGTGGCTTGATGACCCATTGAACGAGTATAGTGTCCCGCTCCGCTTTGAATATTCGAAACACTATACTCCAGCAGCATTCAGCTTCAATGTTATCTTTATGAAGTTCTAACGTCTAGGCCATGCTGATTAAAAGCTTGAATGAATCAACACTTAACTCTAAATTCCCCACAATTCGGGAAGCTCTACTCAAATTGGCAACACAGCGTATCTGCCTATTATTCTCATTTGTGATACAGGTCTGCGGTTAACGGTAGGAAATATGTACGAATAGCGATGAAAGTAGTCGAGCCGATGCTCTGTTGCCAAGAAATGATTTCCCATGTATAACAATGGTTTTTCCTAAGGTGTATAATTTTTTATAAGGGCTCGGTCAACAACTGCGCAGGGGTATTACGTATCTTGAAAAGTGACATTGTGACAAGATGTCAACTCAGAACTAGCTGTTGTTCATCTAATGTGCACTCGTTCTATAGCTGTACGTGTTGCCTAAGCTCATGGAGCTTCAGCTATCAATTTGAGCGTGTCGTGTCATTCCTCCATAGATTACGCTTTGGTGTCGCTGACAGTGCTCATAGCGAGCAAACGCAGAATGAAGTATTCGCACACTAGGACCTATCTAGTCAGCAAGTTGACATTTTGCTTGTTTTTTTTACATTATATTTGTTCTTTACGTAATAACCTGATGATATTATGCATAGTATCCAAAAAAGTTAAATTCAAAAATGTTAGCCAACAGCATACTTAGAAATTATGATTATCTCTACAAGGTGGATCATAACCATGTGGCGAGTCAAACATAAGTTTCAAATATATGCATATTTTCACATTAATTGATTCTCCTTCGTACAAGCTTTTTTCTGGTAGACGGTTTATGGGAGTTTGTATGACTGGTTTTTTAGTTTCAGCTAACCCGTTTGTAAATCAGATATCAGGTAAATGAAAAATATTACATTACCTTTCCAGTTGAAAAATAGTATTCAGGTGGTAACGGCAGATCTTGAGAATTTGCATATTTTTATTATAAACCAAATCTACCAAACTTATGCAATAAAGTCGAAAAGTCAAGTTGTCGCTATGCTTTTCGTAGCTCAAATACCAGCCACACAACCCTCCATATATTTTATAAAAAAAATTAAGTTGTGGATAGGGGAATCAAAGAATGTGAAAATATACAGGGTGTTGCTGTTTGTAATAGAATGTAGGGCATCCCATTTCATAAAATGTATATTGGGTCACCACGAAATTATGAATCAGTTGTGATGAACATACCAAGTTAGGAGCATCCTGTTGGCTACAATTTTTATATTCAACTTTTTGAGATACCATGCATAATATCGGGGTTATCAACCGAGCCCATATCAAAAACTCGTCCTGTACATGTGATATATTATGAGATTTATTTTTTAGAAAGAATAATTCTATATTAGACAACATCGTGCTGCAAACAGCGGCAGCTAAGGTAGAGCATCATACCACAAGTCGCAGATTTTGATCGTGGCTAACATGTCTGCCATGCTAACTTTAACCAACCCCTCCAAGCTAGAAAGGTTAATGGAATATTTTAAATTTCAAAGACACACTCCTCACGTTTGTGCTCTGTATTTAGCTGTAAATTGTACCAAGAACAAGAAAGTTTTTTATTCCCTCCTTTGCTTTCAGGTTTGACGAAGATATGTACGTGGCATTATTGGATTAAGATAATGAAGTTGATCAGCAGCTTTTACCGTCGAATGCGTGAATAATACTATTATCGTATGACAGATATGTATCTTCGCTCAATAAAGCAGTCTATTTTACTTTGTATTTATTACAAAAACGCGCTTTAGTTTTCCCAGGGGCTCATCAGCAAGAGCTAACTTTTTGTATAAGTGTATCAGTCCTTGAAACTGAGGAAGTCAATCTTAAAAATCCCCAATATTGTACACAAAACTGTGCTAAATACGCCAAGTAGGTTTCAAAATGTCCAAGGAAACAAAGTATTTGGTTGTTGTTCTCTTAGTTGAAGCTTACTTATTCTGAGGACGTTCATTTACTTTGACAGCCTTAACATTTGGGAGTGACAGTAGAGTTATGAAAATATTGGTCACAGAAGAAGACGTCGCTCTGTTCTACTTGTATAGTCGTTTATTTCGAAAGATCCGTATTTCTCTACCATTCTCAAGGAATACACAGTCCTACTAATTTATTTGGTTATGCCTATAGAGCATTCAAAATCAAATAACAATCCAATAATTGATAATCAGCTTTTAATGAGACCTCAAGACGGACTTATTTTGGTATCGTAACTGACAAGATGATCAAAGCAAATGAGGCGTCCTCAGAACAAATCGGTCTTAGTTGAAGGAACGACTATAGATACGGCTCTAAGAATACCTTTGTTCCTGATAATATGTATTACTGTGTAAGTTGTTGGGAACACACAGTGCTTCTCTCAGAAACATTCCCCTTACTTATCTTTTGGATGGGTCGTGTTGGCAGGCTAAAAATATTGGAACGACAGATTGATGCATAAATACTATATCTTAGCGCAAAAGTAGCAGTTATCAATTTCAAGATGGGGGCTGCGCACCATTTTAGAACATTATTTGACGTCATTTTAAAGCTCTTTATGCGGACTTTATAGCCCTTATAATATACAATTACTAACTTCTAAAATGACGGACTGGTTGGTAGTTGAAGTTGAGTTATAAGCGATTCAATGTACAAAGGGGAAGGAGGGGTAATTTAATTTTTTGTTATACGAGCCTAACTTCTTTTTCAGAAGGGCTAACTTGTTTCAAACATATTCCTTTACGAACAGAATCAACTTACTTGACGCAATTTTTTTCTGCAAATAATCAGAAGCCTCTGAAGGATCATAAAACAGAACAATTTTTTTCTCTTTTTTGCCTCTATCTTCGCCGCATTTTCTCTTTAGTTCCTCGCCAACAGGCATAGGAAGTAAAAATGATGTTGGCTTTTAGAATCTACAAACTTGATCAACAACTTGTTTTTTTAGAAAAAATTTGTGATTGCTGGGTATTCGAATATTTAGACGCACAAAACGTTAAAAAATATTTTTATATACCAAATTCGACTTCCACTATTGGGATCTCGGAAACGGTTTTTCAATCGCAAATTAACTGCAACTTGACTGCGAACCAGAAGTTAACTCTCAAAAAGCGTTTTTCAATATCTAGTTTCTCCTAAAGTGGTAGTTACCTTTAACCAGAGGATTGTTTATTTGATAGGTATAAAGTTGTACTAACTAATGTGCTTCACAAGGACGCAACTTGTCATGGATGACACGGGACACAAATACCGAACATGTCGAAACGCATAGAACTCGATAAAGTACGGTTGATCGATGTTAAACAAAACTTAAAAAACGAATTCAAAGGCAAATGATAGTGAACTTCCAAGTCCTAGTTACATCATTTAAAAGTTGAACAGCGATCCAAAGAAAAACCTGGGCCTTAGAGATGCAAAGTCAGTCTAAATGAATAGGTTGAGCATTTAGGTAACCAGGGAAATTGTACTTAGAGTGTTTCACAATCCCATTAGATGAAAAAATGTGTCCCAAAATCGTTTTTATTTTTTCCTGACTTGAGTCATAGCTAGAGTGTCCATTTTTTTTTGTGCGTTAGTCAACTTAATTTCTAATGCCTACTGGCCGTCCGTTGTCAATCTAGCTCTCTTCTACCGCTACGCCAACGGACTTTACTCCTCAGAGTTCTCCTCCATGATGCCGTGGCGTGATGTGTCTACCAGACAGACCCGCCTGACTTCGCCCTCCTATGTTGACCGTGTCGAACTTCGTACATCCAGAACTGGCCGATACGACCGCTCCTTTGTCTCTAAGTACCGAGACTGTGGAATATTCTACTTGAGGATGCTTTTCCCACGTTTACTAACCTTAGACAGTTTAAAAATCGGATTAACAAATTTATTTAAGCTCCTCATAGGAGCCGCGGTGCCCTGGCATTTAGGCTTCTGACTGCGCGGCTGTTTCGGCAAAAAAAAACACAATTCATTTACTTGAGATCTGCATATGTAATTTTATTTAGCTTTAAGTTAGCTTTGTCTGATTTGCTATCAATACAGAGTGCAATTGAAGGTCGAGGTTTTTTAATTTGCCTAGTAAATAACTACTACATATATTATCAGAAGAAACAGTCTACTAATCAAAGCACCACTGAGGTTAAAAAGGAACAAAGCATGGTAGAAGCTCCGGAAAAAACTAAACCTCCTCCAGACACCAACAACTACGAATTCGTGGATGTTATTAAGGAAAAGCAAGAAAGCGGGATATACAAACGGTGGAGGAGTAACACAGTAAAAGGAACGTGTAGATGTGGTTATAAGATTTGCTGTTGCAATACCAATCCTGCGATTAAAAGTATGATACAATCAGGTAAGCTAATAATTTCAGTTTTGTCCATGTGATAAGGATGATAATCTATTAGGGAATTCAAAATTCGTTACGAGAAAAATTAAACGAAATAATTTATTCCATAAGGAGGCTGTTAGGTGAATGTCAAAATATCGGTATTTACGGTTTTCCGTACCATCAGTATTTACTAATCATTCCAGCAGTGCCAGTGTCTGAAGATATTGAAGAATTAATTGCTCTATCACGGGAGTCATCAAAATGTCAAAATCCATGAGGCCCGTGACATGGGAATATCAAGGTTGCCCTTTTTAATCAAATTCATTTTGTTTTTATAAAATTTTAGTAGTAGATACTGGTGCACTCTGGGCGCCCCCCACCACTTCCACTTTTTGGCCACGCCCACCACATCCACCGCGTGCTCTGATTGGCGGATCAAACGGCGGGAAATTTGAACGGGGTTGATGGTATATGTTGATTGGCGGGAACCGCTAGATCCACCGCGTGCTCTGATTGGTGGATCAGACGGCGGGAAGTTTGAACGGGTTGATGGTATATGTTGATTGGCGGGCCCCGTTAGATGGCGCACCCGACCGGAAGTGATTCAGACAGCCGACGATAGTAAGGTGTAGTATAACGTCTATGCGTAAGCGATGTGACTCATTTCATGTTTTGCGGTAAATATTTGCATATAGATCGATAAAAGCCCATGAATAATGATATTATAGATGCAATTCTGCGGATTCAGTTTAAATGGAGAAACGTATAAAATTCGCGGGAAACAATGCGTATAGGATGATCTCAATAATCAACACGTCATATTCAGTGTGCATATAAAAATGGAATTGCTCATATATGTGGTGCATACAGTTAATGTTAGTTAATTTTTAACATTGATACAATATTGAAAACATAGGACAGTCTATATTGTGTATCTAATAAATTCAACAAGGCAATCACCTACGTCGCAAATGAGGTTAGGTTCAGGGCAGGTGTTGTCGTAGCGGTGATATGCAAGAAGTACCGGGCGGGGCTGTTAAGCATGGGTGAATGGGCAGGAAGCGCAGGCTGTCAACGAGTTAATACTGACCAACGATAACAGCGGTGACCTTGAAACACTGTGGTCAGTTAAAAAGTGGTGGGGTAAAATCGAGATTATAAATACCTATGAATCACCGCAAATTATCTTGTCAGTTATCTGCAGCGAACAGACGTGCTCAGTTCAGATTTAGTCGCTAGTTAACGTTTTAGTTTTTAAAAATGGAAAAATTCTTCATCGTTAAGGATTCTACTAAGAAGATTAAAAAATTTAATCTATATGGGCGAGAAGTGGAATTTAAAATACGACCTATCCCTAAAGACGTCGAACCTGTGGGATGGATCAAAGACGCTCTGGAGGAAATAGTAGCCAAAGGAACTGAACATCTCCAGCCCAGTGATCAAGTTGGATTCACTTTCTGTTCCAAAGACTTTACCCGCGGTCAAGGATGGATAGCTTTTAAATTGTTTTCCGACGTTTCAACTGAGGACATATGGGAGAAGATATCTTCCATCTATCAGTCAAATTCTGTGGGGTTGAATACCGAGACTTTTTGCTTGGGTATTACGTCCGTAAGGTTGCCTGCTGGTCGTGGTAGAGCTCAGAATTTCAATACCTTTGATGAGGAATGCGCCAAAAGAAAAGGCATTATCACCGTTAAAAACACCGATAATTTGTGTCTCCCACGAGCCCTTGTCATCGCCATGGCCCATTTGAACAAAGACAAAGATTATAGCAGAATCCGCCGTGATCGAGGAAAAATACAAGGACAAAGAGCTGTACAACTTGTGGAAAAGGCTGATATTGTTATCCCTGAGGAGGGGTGTGGAATACCTGAACTTCAAAAGCTACAACGATATCTGCAAAACTACAAAATTGTTGTATACAAGTTTGGGTGCAAAGGTCGTGACGTCATTTTTGAAGGCGTGTCCGCTGGTCCGACGCTTAACCTAATATATCACGAGGGGCACTACAGCGTCATAACATCCCTCACTGCTGCCTTTTGCTGCAGCTTTTTTTGTGAGAACTGCCACATTCCGTATAATACTAAACAAATTCATAGATGTGATAAACAATGTTATGCTTGTAAAAGATCTCCGGCCTGCCTGAAAACGAAGCACATCAAATGCAAAGAATGTAATAGAAGCTTTTATGGACAAGAATGTTTTAACGCTCATTTACCATCGGTCTGTTCTAAAATTAAAAGATGTGTAGACTGTTTTAAAGTTCACAACGGTAATGATCACATCTGCGGATATATACTTTGTAAAACATGTTATAAAAATCAACCAATTGAACATATGTGCTATATACAGCCTGACAGAAGTATTCCTAAATCAAATGATGTCTTATTAATATTTTACGATTTGGAAACCCGTCAGGAGAAG